ACATGCGCACTAAGCGCAATTTCACCAACGGCAAACGAGTGGAGTGGCTCTTCCAGTGCCTTACTTTGTCCCGTGGATACGTCCCAAAAACAAACAGCAACAGCTGTTCCGAGCGGCGTAAAAGACCCAAAAAAGCTGTCCTCGTTGTTGTCGGCTTGCTCTGACGCACTCTCCCGATACTCCCCGATTTTGGGATATATGTGTGTGGCGTGTCTTAGGTCAGAAACGTCGGCATCCGAAAGTGGGTAATGGCGGTGGCGCTGGCGGTGGCGGTGGCGGTGGAGAAACCTTTGCCGGTGTTGGCAGAATTTTTAATTATGATAAATGCCCATTCATAAAAATGAGTGGCATACATTTGCGTTGCGTGTTTATTTGTATATTTCGCATATTTGGTATATTCTGCATAATTGTTATTGCCATTATTTTATCTCCCTTTTTTTTTATTACTCCACTGTCTTTTTCTGCGTTTTTTTGTTTTCCTGTCCTGTCAGTAATTTGTAAGCTCCATCTTTGACGGTTGCTCCCCCCTTTTGTTTGCACTTGACAGGCCAAGATTTATGCGACTGCAGTTGGTGGTGATTGCTGGGGGAATTGGAGAGTGGGATGGACTGCGTGGTAAGTGGTGAGCGGTAAGTGGTAAGGAGTTCGAGTAGGGGTGGTGGGTTTCCGATGATCGACTGCCGGCTGCAGGTGTTGATGGCCCAAATGTGCCTCAATCACCATCAGCGTCAGTTAATAAAATCGCAGCACGACGTTTGATGAATTGTTGCGATATTTGCCACTGACGTTTTTGAGGGCAAATCGTTTATCCGACTATTAAACAAACGTAGGCCGATAATAACAAAGATGGGGGTGGAAAAAGCCGCCCTTTCTGAATTGCCTTCTGTTCGGCAACCAGAAAAAAATGTTTTTTCTATTGGCCGCTTAGGTACTTTAAAAAAAAAAGACCTATAATATGTTGGGAATATTTTGAGATTTCTAGCAGATTCTTTTGTTTATATTTTCTCATCTCAGACCGGTATTAAAGAAATTTATTGTATATTTTTAAAGTTTTATATTATTTTAAAAGCTTTTTGCCCAAAACATCGCTTAACCATCGTCTCATTTAAAAAGGCAGACATTTTTTCATCGAAAATTCGATTTCGTGTTTGAGCATAACTCTTAAACACATTTGAAAGCAAGCAAAAAAAAACCTAACCAGAAGTCAATTTGAAACTGTTGTCTCAATCCGCTAAATCATGGACCTTTATTAATGTAAAGTTCTTATTCTGAAAAAAAACGTTAGGTTCAAAATTTATATATACTTTTTAACAATTTTGTTTCTTGTAGTTAACTGAAAAACATTTTTTTATAAAATAGTAGAATAAACTCAATGTAAGTTTAGACCAAATCTGTATTCAAAAAGGAAAATGAAGATAAAAATTATATTTTTCTCATTTCTTAAATTGATTACCACTAATTGCAGAACGTTGGAATGCTCACTGCGTATTAATGTCCTTAATTGCTTATTAATTAGTGAGAAGGTCAATTTTTTTAGCTTATACACGTATGCCAATCAAAAATCCGGTTTTAAAGGTTCTGCCCAATAGCCTGAGTAAAGTTGTGCCTACAAGCCATTGTTATGAAAAGGGTCGGAGAATGTAAAGTCCGCAGCAACTTATCTCAATGCAATGTCCGACCACTCGGCAAAAACCAAATTGACCAAAGTTAATTTAACCACTGTAAACAAGCCGGGACTCAAGTACTCGGGCACTTGAAATGCTTTGCTGCCCACGGGGAGAGAATAAGGTGCAAAAAAAAGCAGATCGGGGTTGGGGGCGGATGAAAATCTGGAGCGGTGGTTGCACCAAACGTATACGTACTGTAGTGAAAATCAATTGAAGCGCCAACAAACGCTTCAATCAATTTTACTTTGGCAAACATTGAGTGCAAAATAAATCACAGCATCGACTCGAGACGATGGTGGATGCTTCTGCCCGAGATCCTGAATTCTAGCTCCTGGAAAAGAGGGGTTCGGAAACCCTGCTACCCACGAGCTCATCCTTGTGTTTATCTTATTTATGCAAAGCTGTGGCAAACACCAACAATAACAAGCCAGGATGTGCGGCAGAGGCAGCTAAAAAATGAATGAATTCAATGAAATGTAGGTAAGGGCTGTGGGAAAAGGAAAGTTGCACCAGAGACATAAAAAGAGTGCAAAAAATTGCAACAAAACGATTGGCAATGTGCGAGTGTGCTTGTGTGAGGACATCATGCTACTTGGAGGCACATCAAACATCTCAAACGGAATGAATAATTTATGGACACAAAGGAAAGAAGGGAGATCCAGTCGCGAAAGCCAACTGCATCGTGTTTCTTTCACACACGCAGGGGCATGAGCAACGAGGTTTTGGGGGGAAAAGTCACCCTTCCGATTTATTTACAAGTAACTTTTAAAATAAAAGAGTATATTGCAACAGAGTAAAGTTGTATACAAACTTAAAATAGTAAGGGTTATCTGATAGTCGAGATATGACAGTCATACGTTCGTATGGTCAACGTTTCTTCAAGAAATATGAATATATAACAAAATGCTAATTTTCAAATAGCAAAGCAAAAAAAAATAGCAGGAACAAATCGGAAAGCTCAAAACTACTCTTAAGAAATGTGTTTTCATCTTTTAAAATATAAATTAACCAAGTTTAGTTAAGATTTAAATAAAAAATTATATATAAACCTTTTATTTATTTTACTATGCCGTTTAACTCTGAGTATATATAATGGTGCCCGAGCAGAAAGAATAATTTTAGTTATTACAGATTTTAAAGAAAAATTAAGTAGTTAAAGTGTAAATTGTCATCCCCCTTTTAAAATATCCGGCATGCGCTCCTGCACCCAAGCACACCTCTCAGGTATCCACGCATTAGTCGACACACACATTCCATTCATGGATTTCAATACGACTGACAAAATAAAATGGCAATGCCAATGCAGAATGCAAATGGCAACCTGAAGTGCTTAGGATACCTTTGCATTTATTTTCATTTTTCGCACCCCCTTTCGCAAATAAGTATGCAGCATAATTCCGGCAAAAGAAAAATTTATTTCCAACACAAGGCATCCAAGTGTCTGCAATGCACTTGCCGTATTTTGTACATATCTACGGGCAAAGTCAGTTTTCCGTGCCGATTATCGTTCAGCCAGCATTCAAAAAGCGATTATCGCGTTATAAAATTGGCTGTTTCCCACTCGACATTCGTCTCGTATTTTCAGCCACGTCAAACGAAAAGTTTGAATAAATGGCTGCACAAAACTTTGTTAATCTGACGGAAAACCAGTAAAAACGAAAATGTCGGCATGGAAATTCGGTCAAAAAGCAGCACTGTTGACTTTGATGCTGGTTAGACCGCACTGAAATTCGTCAATTTTTGAAATGCCACCAAAGAAATCAAGGCGAAACAACTGTCTCGTGGTAAATATTAATTTAACTTTGCGCATTAGCCGAGCAATGACACTCGACTGTAGAGAACCTGTGGCACCACATCGTGTTAGAGGCTGGCCACAAATGTTGGTGCAAAACTCCACAAACCGCCACCCTAAAGAGCCCCCCGTCCTCCCAGGGGGTAAGCCTCAGTTCGTTGTCTATTTGCCTATGCGAAATTTGATGCGCTGTCTGTCTGTCTGCCTGTCTGTTTTTTGGTGGTCGAGCTCGTGTAGTGTCCCTGCTTCTCTGGCTCTCATTATCGTAAATTTTTATGCTAAATACATTTCGTTGTCGGACCCAAAAATACAAACACCGAAAGCGACAAAAGAAATCCAATACGCTCTTAGCCGTGCACAATGAAATTGTAACACTCTATACCAGGATATCAAAACCATTTTAATTGAAATAAATGTAGTTAGTCGGAACAAATTTAAAGTAAATTAATGTAAAAATAATATAATATAAAAAACAGCTGGGTATTAGTTTAAACCTTTTTTTTTTGGCTTAAACTCTCTTAATTGAGAAAGTATTCTTAAATAATGTATCAAATAAGTATGCTGAAAAATATTTCTTCGAAAACCTGCTTTCAATCAAACCCTGGATGTGCCACAGCTTCAGAAATGTGTATTATGTATTTTAAGCTCAAATAGCCAGAGACAAAGCCTGTAAAGTAGAAGGCATGCCCTTTTAAGAAAAAAAAAGGACATTAGAGTTCCCCATTTGTGGCAGCTGCCGCCACGTGGATGCCACTCGTCCGGTGGCCAACATAATCAAGGGAACTCAAACTCGCATGTGGGGGCGGGCCTGTGGGTCTGACAAATTGAACAATTTAAAGAGGGATTTGTGGGTTTGTTGTGGGCTGAGCCAAACTAGGTATCGTTGTACTCCAAGAACGAATTCAAATTCCGAATTCGACTTGAAATCTCGAGGCAGACGACCGGTGATATAAGAGTTGATACGCGCTCCTTTGGAGGTAGACCGTGTAATGTCTTAGGAAATTTATCAACTTGAAGGTTGACTGTTTCCGGCGATCCCAATCCCGAATGTACTTGTAGAGGTGGTGTTCGGCTTTACCAAACAAAAGCTACATATAAATTAATTTTCAAATCCCACTTTTTCCTGTTCATCAAGTTTTAAACCATATTTCATAGTTAATGGCATGAGCAAAAAATTTTAAGGAATCTCACATTTTAGAAATGATGCTGAATATTTATGAAAAGACAAATCAGAAAAAACATGTTTAAATTCAAACTGATTTATCTATTTAAATTAACTTCTTACAAAGCTAATAAGAGAATCGTTTTCTATCATAAAACTTTTAAAAAAGTTGTCTCTCTATAGTATTGTTTTTTTTTTTAATTTCAGAACTACGGTTTTCGTTTTATTAAACTCGGACAACGTATAGCTATATAATATATGACCATTTTTTGTTGCTCAATTTTTTCGGTTTCAACACATGCATAGATTTCATTTAATGAGATTACATATTTTAGAATCTGGAACTACATATTTATAACATTTATTTAACACATTGCTGTTATATGTAAACAATTTAATTGTATGTATTAACAGCTTTGAATTATTTAATTTACTTGTTGCACGTCTTGGAAGAGTTCAAGTTTTTTGTTGTTTATCTCGTTTGACAGATATTTCTGTAGGTTCTCCGAGGCTCTTCTTAAATGCAGCACGACCTTAAGGGCTTCCTTCCTACGGGGCTCATACTCATCCTTGACTACATGTTTTTTAAGATGATTTTGTATGAAATTGGCTCTTCTGTCGCCACAATTTTGGATTTCCGTGCCACTGGCTTTATTCCTTTCCAAAAACCAATATCGTTCCTTGCACAGCACTTGATGTTTTTCGAATGTAAGTTTAAAGGAATCCAACTCCTTAATTCTGCTCCTCAACTGGTCAACTAGTGTCTTGTTCTTGACTTGAACATCACGCACTGATTTTATGGCCTGAACGGCTGATTTTTCAAGAGGTTGTAACTGTGTCAGTTGAGTGTTCAGTTTCTTATTATCAATCTCGATTTGAAGGATCTCGGGGTGGATTTGGTCAGGCATCGTCAATAACATATGTTCATGTTCGCATAGATCGATATTTGGACATTCTGGTATATTTGTGCCAAGCATGTGGTTCAGTCGACTCACACGCCGTCTCAAGCGACTCACCTCCTCGTAAATATCTTTTATTTCCAGTTGACTTTCCTCGAATGATTCTTCCTCCACTTCTTCACAGAACAACGAGCCTTGGGATGAGGAAGCTTCATGCTTTTCACAGCGGAAAACTTTTTCCGGCGGCTGTGATTGTGCTAATTTCGTTTCTCTTTTCTGCAAGGGAACTTCAGTCTTAACACTATCAGGGTAAGAAATTCCTGGAGCCTTGCACGGCTCAGCATACTTTCGATCCATTCAAACTAATTTACAAAAAACAAATTTTGTGCCCAGCAAGTAGTAGTTAAAATCTGTTTTTGGTATTTCAACAGATATCTCAATGTAAGCTAGTTCCTTGAAAAAGTTAAATAAAATCAACTATAAAGCTATATGCAAATATTCCTATTGTTGACCAAAATTCTATCTACAGCTATTTTAAAACAATAATGATTTTTGCTAAGCACTTTGTGACACGATCACACTAAAGTCAAAATCTGAGCAAAAGTTGAGAATTATTTTAAATATGTTTATAGCAATGATATACAAAAGTTTTTTTTTCATAAATTTAAATTCTTGGAACTTGTACAGAAATAATTTTTTTCATGTAAGTATGTTTTAATAGAAAAAGTAAACATCATAGATTTAAAATTAAAGTACTGCTTTGGCCGGACTTGTACATAAATTTCTTCGTTTCTGTTGAATTCTTGGAGATGATTACTCACAGAAATAATTTTTTTGCAACGCAGTTGTCACAAACTCACAGTAGATGCAGGCAATCTGTGGTTCACAAAGAACGACATTAGCAAACGCTTTCAACCAGCAGCGTCACTTAACCCTCAGCTAAGCCAAACAAACAGACTCACAGAAAACATGCGAACACAGAAAAAAAATTTCCTAAGCATTCTGAATTTATATCTTTAATTTACCAGTGTCAAGTCGTTTAAATAATATACATTTACAAAATTGTTAAATAAAATTAAATAAAATTTAAAATTCCGCACAATTCGTTTTCAAGAGAAAACTCAATTCGATCAACAAACACGCTGGATGTGAACTTTAAATTACTAAGATGAAGCCGGAAAAGGAATAATAAAGAAACTGCAACAAAAGATAGGTCCAAATTTTGTGCAAGTCCTTTAAATGGTCTAGTTTTTAAGCCTGCTTTCAGAGCGATCAATTAAATAAAATAAATGGATGGTAAGCCTTATAAAAATGTAAGATGTAACCACCCGAAGAAATGTTCTCTCTGCCTAGTGAAAAACAACTCTTGATTAAATGATTGAACTCGACTATCAGCTTTGTTGGATAGAATTGGTACAAAGCAACCGCTTCCCATTGCATTGAATGACAGCGGAAAATGAAGTAAAATCTAATTAAAAACCTTTGCCCGATGCTGAACCATGCGAAAATCACAATTGTCAGCGTAAAATTCACGCACACCTGCTAACAGAGCCCACGAGCACAGACAGATAGACAACCAGCGGCGATTTCCCATACGCAAACAAATAGGGGATTGCGAACCCGAGTGGAGCGGAAACCTGGCAGGTGAAAAGCAGACGGCGGCTGTCCAACTCCCCGAATTCGGAATCTAGCGAAAACAGAGCAAAAGTTTTGGCCAGACACAAAGGCAAGGAGAACTAGTCTCCAATTAGTAGTGATGCCAAATCTATATCGAATCAGTTAAAAATGGAAGAAAATTGTCTTTAGCTTTGACTGCCTGTGTTACATCATAAAAATGTAAAAAGTCTTATGTATTCTTGGTATTGATTGTTGATTCCTCTTATAATTTCCTATTAACTTATGTAAATATATATATATCCTTCAGCATCCGAGATCGATTGGGTGCCGGATCTTTCGAGTTGCTTTTCTTAATAAAGTAATTCTAATAACATACAAATATTTCGATATATTTTCGTAATCTCTTAGATTTAAGGCAACAATAATCAAAATTTGGCATAGAAATATCAAATCACGGTGCTGGCTTTATTTACAAAATGTTGCAGAAGCACACTGACATCACTGATTCGATAGTATAGTGCCATGGGGTTCGATGGGCCAGATAACCTCCAGGAGCGAATGAAACGCGCTGTTGCACACGAAAAATAACAAGCTGCGTTGGTCAATTCATCGAATGTCGGTCAGGGCTGCCACCGGGGAGAAAGTGGATTGGGCGTGGGAAGTGGGCAGTGGGCAGTGGGAAAGGCTTCCCTTTTAGCCCGGAGGAGGGTCAGACCACCTGGCCAGGGGCGCCATCAAAGTTTCGCACCCAGGCATTTGGCCGGCATTGTTCGAGGGGCCAGTGGGAACTGTGTTTGCTCTGTTTGAATTAAAAGAAATTAGTTTAGTTATGCCAGGGCCCCCCAGGATGCTCTATTGAGTTATCGGCCATGTGCGAATGGGACAGCTTGGTGCTGTCGGCAGGAGACAGCATTTCGGATGGATAAATTGCATTTATTATGCAAGTTTTTCCTTCCCATTTGGGTGTGCCCTGCCAGAGTGGTAGTTTTTTCACAAATATGCGAATATTTGCGTGTTGCTCTTCTGATGTCGGTTAACCATTATGTGGCATGAATATGCCATTTCAATTTTAATGCCGGTCTTGGCGACGATTCAAATCGTTGGCTCTTTGGCGACTATTTTGCACATATTCCCAGCAAAGTAAAGTTCGTGCGAGATGTGCTGAAATCGTGATTGGATTGTAGTCAGAAAAACACGTAGATACATAAAATAAAGTACTATACATACAGCTTTAACAGGATGCTTAGAATATTGTTGAATTCTGAATTCATCGTACCAGCTCATATTATACAATTTTCAAATTGGATTGGAATTGGGAATACGCCATTTTTTTCAATCACAATTCATAATAGCAGAATAAACTTATAACCTATCTTAGCATTAATATATATATCAAATTAAATGGATTTTAAAAATATATAGATAGTTACTAAGACTTAAATTACAATAAATAAACAAGTTTTAAAGAGAGAGTTTCAACTGGGCGAGCCAGATTATGCTGATGATAACGATTTCGTCGAAATTGATAGTGGAAATATGTACGCTGAATGGGATATTTAAGCGCGCCTATCAAACACGAACACAATAAATCATCGTCACGGCCCAAATTGACATTTTACAGCCAAAAACCAGAGACCAAAGCCATGTGTAGGACAAACTAAGTTCCACGAGCCCGTGCTGCAGCTGCTTTTTTGTAGATGTGGCTGCCGCTGTTTCAAAGCCACTGATATTGTTGTCAACAATGATGGCCCAAAGCATCAGCCACATGCGTGTCGGCCGAAGCTCATCCCTGGGCAAAAGTGCCCTCACACATGCCTGCCAAAGCCAGACCTTTATTGCCACAGCTCCATGGGGCAACAGGAGCAACAGTGAAAATTTAATATCTGGCAGCGGGCTTGCGGGTTGGGACGTGGCTCTTTTAGAGTTAGTCCGCTGCCGCTGACGATCTGAACTCATCGCATTATCCTTTGTCGTGCTGGCGGTTGCTCGCTTAAAATAATTGCACACTGCACCGCCAATAAGTCAGCTTTCTCGTGTTCATACAGAGAAGCAAAAACATAAAAAAAGAAACTATTGTTAAAAAAAAATATCAGGTATCATCATATACACAAAGTGTTATATTTAATATTTAAATTAAAACATTATTAAGTCGTGGAGCTAGGCAACACCACGAATTAATAAAAAAAACTTTACAAATAAGCTTTTTAAATTCTTCCTGCCGATCAGAGTGCTATAGAATGAAAGGTATTTTCTCAGTGTTTTTTGGCAGTAATCTGTCAGTCAGTGCTCTAATGCCAAAAGCATCAAACCTCCGGCCAGCTGTCAACACATCACACAAATTGCCAAAGCAAGCATCAGACTTTGGGGAAACTAAATCGATTCAATATACCTAGCGCTTTTGCTAACACTGAGACAGGTCTTTTTATAGTTTATTTGAAAGAGAAGAAAGTTATTATTTTACCCAAAAGCAAATCAACTATTTTTATATTCTTTCAGAAGGTAATAAAATGTATTTCAAAAGTTTGCAACGCCGTAAACGAGACAATATTTTTAACTCCTAGCTTTAGCTCTTTAACATTATGAATTATAATGTATTTTTTTTACAAATTTTACAGATTGTTTCCTTGTTATTAAACATTACCGCATATACTCCGAGAAATAAAATTTTTAAAAACTAGGTAGTTTAGAGGGAACTTGGCTGAAAAATGCTTCTAAGCAAGTAAAGCCACGTACAATGGTGGTTAAAGGAAGAAACATTTTCATTAAATATTTGTAAAATTTTAGTTGTTGTTTTAAATTTAAATCTAAAAAATGATTAGTCTGTAAGATATAGAGTTTTATAATTATTTGAATGCAAATTTAAAAAATCCTATTAAAAAATTTAAAAAATCCTAAACAGAAACAGTAAAAACGAGAGTTAAAATAACTTTGATTATCCAAACATGTTATAAGTCAGAAATATATTTATGGTTTTAGTTGTATGCTTTCGGTTCCCGGTGGAAAAACAAGCCTTACGAAGATTATCCATAAGTCTCAAAAATAAAGTGGTCAGTCCTTGAAATTGAATGAAACCCATTTCCAGGTCAAGTAACATTGAATTGAAAATCTTTTAAGCAACATAAAAATTTGGAAACCTTGTCAATGTTTTCGTATTTGGTTAACACACGAAACGGAAAAATGACTTTGGCTAACGTATTTACAGTTTTAGCTCTAAGTTGGGTAAGTAGAACATTTTCATTTTTGTAATCCAAATTTATGCATTAATCTGCGACACTATTTTCAGTTGCTGGCGGTCAAAGCTAGCCCTGAAGAAGACAACCTAAAAGAACACAATCGGCTTAGGGAGAAGCACGGCGTTCCCGCGCTGACGTTGGACGACAGTCTTTCTAAGGACTGCGCAGAGTATGCGCAAGTATGTCCCGGTCTTGTTATTAATTATTTACCTTCTTAATTTGGATGGCCTCACATTTAAACAGGTGCTAGCCGAAAAGGGATCGTTGGTGCATTCGCCTGATGGTGGCCTGAAATATGGTGAAAACTTATGCCTGAGGTCTGAAGCACCTCTTAGATGTGTTCAAGACTGGTACGACGAAATCAAAGAGTACGACTTTGCTAAAGCACAGTTTACCATGAATACTGGCCATTTTACTGCACTGGTTTGGAAAAGTGCAAAAAAAATGGGTCATGGCCAAGCCAAAAGTAAGAATGGGATCTACTTCGTGGTAGCAAGATATTATCCACCAGTAAACATTTATGGACAGTTCAAAGAAAATGTCCCGAAGCCGATTGAGTATTTCATTCAAGTGTCATATTGAAAATAATTTTTAATTGTATTTTATTCCAGCGGCGTTGAAGGTGGAAGTAGTACTACTGATGGCAACGTTAATATGGTACAAGCTAACGCCGTTCTCATTTTGTTTGCTTTGTGTCTGCACTTTACAAAATAAGATAACTTTTTAATGTGCATGACCGACTGAAAATTTTTAGTTTATCAATTTAAAAATATAATTTTTTTTGGTGTTAATAAGCTTTGTTTATTTAAAAAGGATACAGAAAAATTATATCTGACCTAAATCAAAATCGAGTTACGTTTTTTGAAGTTATAGGGTTATTAAGTCCTCTGCCGTCGCTCTGCCGCGCTCGGCCTCCGCTCGGCCACTGATCTGCCGGCTATCGCTGATGTAGAGAGACTGAACGAAATAACTGTTAGCGGGTTGTGGGGGTGCTGCACGCTCTTAGCTTCTAGCTTTGGCTATGCAGTTCGACAGATGGCGCCTCCAGATTTACTTAACTAATTTGGGTCATAAATAGCTTATTTACTATCTGCCTTTTACACGTCATTAGGACTGATTTACTAATATACGACAAAGTATGAAAAAATTGCTCAAATTAAAGTTCCACCGCAAACATGTCTAACCTTTTAAAGAAAATTAAATAAATGGCTTCGTATTCTTAAATATTCCCATGCTCATAGAAGAACAGTTAAAACATTCTTTATCATAGTTTTAACATGTTTTTTGAACTATGTTCAATCATCTAAATTCAATGCAAACCATTTCCATATCAAGTTACCTGGGACTGAAAATATTTTTAGTAATGTGAAACTTGGCGGGTTTATAAAAGTATTCGTATTTTTTATACAAAAAAAGAAAACATGGCTGTGGTGAACATATTAATAGTTTTAGCTTTTTGTTGGGTAAGTTCTATGCCAGAATTATGCAATTTTGATAATTACATACAGAAATTACAGTTGGTCGCAGTCGCAGCTAGCCCTGAAGAGGACAACCTAAACGAACACAATCGGTTGAGAGAAAAGCACGGCGTTCCTGCGCTAACGTTGGACGACACTCTATCCAAGGGATGCGAAGAGTATGCGCAAGTATGTACAATACTTTTCATACACTTGCAGAGAATATTACAAATTTGGTCAGAATATTGGATCACAGTAGAGAAGACACTTCCAACCCTTTAGTTTAGAGAAAAATCATAACTATACTCTTTATCTTGCACGTATCCGTCACACTAACCACTCTGATCCGTGCTAATAGCTGAAATAGAAACAATCGATATTCATTCTTCCGATACCCCCTCAATCAAACAGGTTCTAGCCGAAAAAGGATCACTGGCGCATTCAGGTGATGGCCGAAAATATGGTGAAAACTTATGCCTTAGGTCTGAAGAACCTCTTAAATGTGTTCAAGACTGGTACGACGAAATCAGAGCGTACGATTTTGATAAAGCAGAGTTCAGCCTAGATACCGGCCATTTTACAGCAATGGTTTGGAAGAGTGCAAAACAAATGGGTCACGGCCAAGCCAAAAGTAAAAAAGGTGTCTACTTCGTGGTGGCAAGATATTATCCACCAGTGAACATTCTTGGGCAGTTCAAAGAAAATGTTCCGAAGCCTATCGAGTATATAATTCAAGTGTTATATTGGAAATCATTTTTAATTTTATGAATTGCAGAGACGCTGAGAATGACGATGGTAATGTTACTGCAGTTTGTGCTGCAACAGTTGAAGACAAGTCTTATATGGTACAAGCTAACGTCATTCTAATCTTGTTTGCTTTGTGTGTCCACCTCACTTATTAAGGTCAACCCATTTTTTCTTCCTTGGGCCTGCACCAAACAAAAACTTAAAGTTCACTTATTCAAAAAAAATATTAGTTAAGTTTAAATTCATATGTATTTTTAAATAAACTTTGGCTTATGAAAATAGTAGAAAAACAAAAAATAAATTTTTGTATGTAATGTAATTTTATAAAAATTAACTATAAGTGCCAATTCGCCAACAAAAATGGTTGCTGAATTCTAGTTTGCCAAAAACTAGTGTTAATTTTTTATTTTAATTTAGTTTTAATTTTTTGGTAAATGCTGTGATTCTGCTCTTACGCGATGATTCTCTGATGTGCTGGTTTGAATGCTGGGTTAATTTGAATTTTTGCGATAAGTAAATTCAATTTTTTCAATAGGTGTGAGCTCGCTACGCTTTGTTCTGCCCAATTTCCTTTCGTATTCATTTTAATCTTTTTTTTGCAATCAGCTCCAGGCCAACTGTATTCCCCAATGCATTGGCCATGCCAGTGTCAACCAAGTGGCGGGTAAGATTCAGATATGCTCACGCGTGGGACTGCCATTTAACATTTGGCTGTCTATACCAGCAACTTTTGGAGTATTAAAATAAATAAGTCCGACAGTATAAAGTACTAACCATATATTGTCTTTCAAATTTTTCCAAAGCCCTCTTCAAACCAGAACTCCGAAAAACTCTACAACCCCTACGCCTAATTTTATTGAGCAGAATATTTCAGTTTTCAGTAATAAAACTAAAAGCCGTTAACAACAGGGCTGGCTTAAGGGGTATTTCATAGTCGGAGCAATCGACTACAACGATATTGCTGGTTTTGTTTCCCTACATGTCTGTTCCCAAGTGGAAGTCGATGTCTGGGGCCAGCAGCTGCCGGGAGCGCATTAAATCCTTAAGCACTCATTATTATTCAATCAGATATGTAGTCGAATGCCTTTTTGTTTGGCTCTCACTTAGCCTCGCTTTCCGACTGGCTTTGTCGTGCGTGGGCTCACCTAATGACATTCAAATTGCTTCCATCTCCGGTCGGTTTCAATTGGAACACCTTCAACAAAAATTAATGGAATTATAGATCAAGGCGTCAAGGGAACCACCGCTCTCACCAGATATTTAATTGACAACAGGATGAGTAGGACAGCTGCTCTTTTTTAGTTTTTTATAAGATACAAAAGGCATGCCTGGATGACACGTAAGTTTGAAAGTCTAAATATTGAAATATATGTTGAAAAAAATTTTTTTTTGTATATTTGTATTTAGATGTCTAATAGCAATTTTGTTTGTAACACCATCATTATTTCATGCAGTTATAAAATGTTTTCCAGCGTCACTTCATTCTTAATTTATATCCATCGTAAAGTCCAAATGTTTTGGCATCGCACTGAAACCAAAATTAAGCACAAACCCTCCCTAATGACTTTGTCCACAAACAGAACGGAAACGCGGAGGCGCCGTTTCGGAAAAAGACGAAGTCAAGATGCGGGACGTTATGTCTGGTTGGCAGGACATCATTCCGCGGGACTGGAAATTGTTTAATTTTGCCCTCGCTTAATTATCTGCAGTGTGCCGGGTGCTTAAATTATAATGGCGCTGACCTAATTGAGTAATAATTAAAATTAAGTGCATGCTAAATTGTTATTAATTATAAGTTGCACGCGAAGATGCCACCGACTTTCATCAATAGCGTGCAGAGGGATACTTAAAAGTGACGAGATAGTTTGCTGCAAGTGTCACCAATTGGCAAACTGCAAGAGTTACGTTCAAACCAGATAAGTTAGAGCTGCCGTTTTTATTAGGGAAGAACTTGGCAAAAGCTGTTTGCTTGGAAAGCTGTAACGCGTGGTTTTACATTGTACAATTTATCAAAGAAAAACACCTCTTAACGATGCTAAAAACTCGTGACGACCGCACCTTAAACTTACAAAATAACTGATATCAAATTTTGTGACGAAAAATGAATTAAATAAATACACCTTTTAACTGAAATTGTTTCCTCCTTTAACCTGAAACCATTTTGTTATATCTAAACTAAGAAAAGTTGTAGTCCTTCAATTTTTTTGAAACTGACATCGGCATCGGATCCAAGGAAATTGGGTGTCATTCGACGCATATTTTCAACAAAATTTAAACTTTGCTAAAAAAGTGTAATATTTTATCAACCCGCGGTCAAGAATTTCATTTTTTCCTGAACCAATTAGTTTTCCTAAAGTCTTGGTATGCAATTCGTATTCATTTGGCTATACCATCACAGTAGATTTTTAATACTATATATAGTAGTTTCCTATGCACTCGCCCTTGGTGTGCATCGTCACTACATGTACTGCCGTCCATAGTGATTTCATTCAAAATTTATTCTTATTTCACAGAATACTTTTCTGGGAATGTTTACATGGATACCAAGAATTGTTACATCAAAAGAAGTAAAGTCCATCATTATTATTAACTTTACAAAATATGGTTTTTTTAGACTTTAATCTTAATTGCTCGACATTTTTTTCCTTTATTTAATTACTTTATTAAAATATATACTGCCAGCGACTAATGGTTGCGCGCTGAAACTAAATGCAGCAGCCAGTTGCAACTAATGCAATCCTGTCCTCATTCATTCAAGCAGTTGCAGTGACACATTTCAATATAAATTATTGTCAATGGGAGTGCACAAAATGTTGCATGTAGCTGGAACATGAAAACACCGAACATCAAATAGAGCGGCCGACAGAAAAACTAGAAACAAAAGGAAACAAACATTCAAACGCGTTATTCATCGTTAAAGTAACTGCCGGCTGGGGCGATGACGACAACAACGGACGACGAGATGGATGTACGGGGCGTATGCGCAATGCGATATGCAACAAATTGCTAAACAAATCAAATTTATTGCCAGCGCTGCGCTCTCAGCAGCATTTGCAGTACGCGTGTATAGCGTTGTCCAGATAGCAGAAATTAATATGAGTCCGCGCCCCTCGTTTGGCTATCAGCGTTGGTATGACTTCATTTGGACCCGGGCTGGTCCAGTGGTTTGCTTTTCCCAGCTCGCGTTTCGTTCTTTCGGTTAAACTGCATTCTTGCACACACAGCCGCACACTGCATCCGCATGCATAACAACATGGCGGTCGCTCTGACCGGAAGTCCGACTTGTGCGGCGTTTAATTTATGCCAGAATGCGGCTTCACAGCGCTGCAGATGCAGATTCTTTTCGTTCTGAAGCTGCTGTTTCTCCACATTGGTACAGTGGGTTAAACGAGCTGGACGAGAAGGAAGCCGCTGGATTCAGTGAGCATTCAAGTGTTCTTCTCTCACGGTAATATTTAAACTTCAACATTTTTCCGTTTGCTTGCGCAAAAGAAAGTGGAATGTTTTGTGTGTAAGCTTAAAAACTAGGAACCTTAAAATTGTTGATCAAGATTATACATACTCAAAAGTCTTATTCCCTTCGATTAATATGTTTGTATTTTTTACTAAAATGTAGTTCATTTTATTATTTCCAAAAATCTTAAAACATAATAGGTATGAAATATTAGAAAGATTTTTATAATGAGTGTGTTTTCCGGTGAATTGTTGTTTTTATTAAGTCTCACAAACTTGAAAGTTTCTACCAAATAAGGCTCTATTCTGATGAAGTCCTGCCCATTGTCGCCGCTATGGCATTTATCCTAGCTGTTGATTTTTATTTTCACAATTAGGAAGCTGTTTTTATTATTGTTGTGCGCTGCGTTAAACAAACTAGATATGGGGTGGAGCAAACATGGCCATGCCCACTGGTGGGCGGGTGGTAGGCGGCAGACACTTATTCATCAGGCGGAAGTTTGCTTGCATTCGCCCATTGTTGTTGCAAGCGATGTTGCTGTTGTTGCCCAGCAGACTTGTTAGTTGTTCGTGGGTGTTTGCCGCGCTCATGCAAATTGCACAAGTAACGAAAATGAGGGAAAAGGCCGGGCGAGAAGTGCAGAAAAAGATGTGCAAGGCGAAAAAGCAGAAAGTAAAAAGTAAAAACCAACAAGGAAAATAGTGGCAAACAAAGTTGCTCTCAGCAAACTCCCCCGAACACTCGTATATTTTTTGAATTTATATTTAACTGTATTACAAGGCAACTGCTCCCACAGCCCATCCACAACCCATCCACACCCCATTCCCATTCCCATTTCCATTCCCATCCAAAGCCAGCCAACGGAATCGGAAGTTATAGTTATGCCGCTTGCGCGAACGCATTCTGCAAATATATTTTTGCCAGGCACAACAGCAACAAAAGTTTATTTAAAACTTTTGCGGTTAAGCTTGTTACTTGCCAGCTACTTTTGCGAACGCCCTCCGCCCCGAAATGCTAACTCGTTTAGCTCAAGAGTTTTGCCCCACAAAATATTCGAGCTGCAGCCAGCCAGGAGGCGAACCATAAACATTTTCTAGCAGCACGTGTAGCCCATCGGTGGTCATAAAAATTATACAGACTTTGGCTTTGACTCCGCCATTAATGTCGAGAGGTGTCCGACCCGGCGACCGGCACTGCTCAATCTCATCTTAATCAGCTGGCAGATTAACCAACTTTATACAGCTGCTTAAATTTTCAGCATTCTATTTGCTGCCCTGGTGTTGGCATCATAAAAATTTTCAATTTCATTTGCCCTGCACAAAGGAGACGACCAGCAGCAAGAGAAGTCTGGGGATCCGGCGGCGAACTAGCAAGGAGCAGTGGCAAGTGCAGGATGCTGCTGGCATATCGATGACGGCCACCTCTCCCCGGAAGTGGGCGATTCCCCTGCAGAAAGGGGGAGTGCTCGCCCCGACAGACCGGGCCAATTAAAGTGTCGAAGGCTGCCTGACAAAGCGCCGGCCTGCTTTGTATTTATGATGAGCCATCCGTGCCAAAGTCCCTCGTCGTGGCAATCCCGTGCCGCCTGCGGGTCACACAGTCCTCTCCTGTCCGAGTCCCCCTGTTCCTCCGGCAGAAACTAGCTGCACTGCTCATCGGTGCTGCTACATGGAAAATTTAGCTATTCTTCATCGAAATCAAGTTGCAGTTCAATTTAGATAGCTAAAAATCTGAAACAACCACAAGCAAATAAGAATCAGAAATTAAGAACATGACTAAGTTGTTATTTTGGTAAATTTTTAGATAAATTATTAC